AATAATGCTTTAAATTTCAACTTTAGTAGCTTTCGGTTGGAAAGTAAATCTAGTTGATGCATTGGAGAGGTCAAATTTTGAAATTCCCAGTAGTTTTCAATAGCATCGGGGGAAAAAAATAAGGAAAAAGGCGAATTTGTATGCAAAACCAATTTTTTAGAAAAATCGATTTTAGATGTTGGTATAACTAACAAATTACCTTAGACACATGGAATTTTCACTGAATGTTTATACTGGTATTTTATATACTTGATACAATTTTAAAAATATAAGGTGTAACAGGACTTTYTAACAAATTTACATTACAAATATTACTATAATTGTCAAATAGTACTGTTACACTCTGTATATCAAATCTTTTTAAATTATTTATAGACATTTGAAATTTTCTCTTCGATTGTCAATCTCAATCGTATATAAATAATGCCACCTATGCATCATGCTCATGCATGTTTATACCTTATCTGCCATAGTTACAATTAACAAATGACAATCATTTACACCAAATACAAGTTTCACTTTCCACAGTGAATTTAAAAATCCTTGTTTGAGRACCACTTTAAAATCCGAATTTCGGAAAATCTTTTTTTAGTTGATTTTTACATCATAATAAGCGAAAATACTGAACAAATGACATACCCACTCATAACTTTGGTGGTTCCGGTTGAGTGATGATAAATCAGTCAGTTAATTAATCAGAACAAGTTATTTTATATATAAAATAAAATAAGATTATCAATTTTGAATTATACACATCTATTACAAATTACAAACCCTTATATGTAATATACAGGCAACTAAATATGCAGTATTGGCATTTTACCGTTTTTTGTTTTCAGAAACTGTAAAATTTAAGTGAGTTATCTTTGTGATAATAGACTGCTTATCTACAATAAGTGTAAATATAATCACAGAATACAAAATGTCAAAATGTCTGTTATTGAAATAATAAATCGCAAGATTGCTGCAACGGATTACTGATTTAAAAATGAATTTCGCGTCGATTGATTATGTTACAATTATTTAAGACACGTTCGAGAATATCGTTGTTTATTTATACGTCAAATAACTGATCATTAAACATTTTTTTTTATTTTGTATCAAAATTGAATATAATAAAACTGGTATGTTGAATYTTTTTTTCTCCACAATATTATTTTTATATCGTTATATTATGTAGATTGTTTAWAATGTTTGCAGATTAGTATGTACAGAAATATAAAACCACATTACTTTTCAATTGATGCTATAATGGCCGCCCAAGAAAAAATTCAGTGTTCATTTATTAAAAAAGTTGAGCACGTCGGTAAGTTTTTATTTGTATATTGTGTTATTCTATTATTCTTGTGCTTTATTACCAGCATATTCTGTCTGTTTGCCAGCTCGTTAATATTTAATTGATACCAGATAATTGTATGGGTATATAAATCAATTTGGTTCTCCTTGGCTTTTTTAATATTGAATAATTTCTCTAGATTCATTCATACTAGTATCACACTTATTTTTTTTCATATTCAAATGACATTATAAAAGTATACATTTGTATTGTATTTATACCTTGCAATGTCTATTGTATCAAATTAAAAACACTATTTTATATAAATATAAGGTATTATAGTTTGGAAAATGCAGTGATTAGTAAAATAAAATGTTTTATTATATTTTTTTAGATTTCTTAGATATGACAAACACTGAAAAAGATGAAGAAGCAGATCCAAAAATTGAACTTCCCCTATGGATGATTAAAGTGTTTTTAGCAGGAAAATCAATCAACTTTGATATGCCCAAAGCATATAATGAAATTTACAGGTATTTATGGTAAAAATTCAATTTTTTTAGTTTAAGCTATAATCAAACATTAATTTTTGATTAAAGGGGTGTTTTAACGGCTGATGCGAACGTAGTTGATTTGTTTAAGTTGTGTAAGCATTTCTATTTATTTGGAAAATTTTTATCTCAATTAGAACATCGAGAAGCATATGAAGTCCGAAGAACATTAATTCAAGTACTAATGATTAAATTTATAATTTACTCATTTACCTCCAGTATAAAAATATATAGCTACATTATTTGTTTTTATGTAGACATTCATAGACAGATTTAAACAAACAATGGATTGGGCACAAAATATTGATGATAATCTGCCATGCTTTAATAGACTTGACTGTCTCGARAGGTCAATATTTAATGATGCTCGAGTAGCGCAGCAACATTTAAATACTTATTTAACCGAAGGATCAGGTCAAATGGAAATTGCTGCCATGATATCGAATTACAGAAAACGAAAAATGCATGAAAGTCGTGTTCTAGAATAAAAATAAAACAATTTTATGGCAGATGCCAATGGATTTGGGTGCAGTAACCAAAGCAATTTGTGATTTAAATTAACATCATAATAGTGAAATTGTAATTTATATAATAAGGTATTATAAATAAAATTTATAAATTTWTATTTAAAATTAATAACTTGACATTTATTTACATCATCAAAAGAGCAAAGGTTAATATCTGTAGAACTTTTGCAAATACTATTGCAGTTGGAAATGTTATAAGTATTTACTTATCCAAATTTATTTTTCTGTGACATACCATAGAGGCATAGACTATAATGAAATATAGAATTTAGTCTGTTTATACACCAAGTTTATTTTTGATATATGATGACACTTACTTGAAGTACTTAAATAGTTACATTTTGACTAATTTTATTTTACTTTTAATTTATTAGTATCTCAATTTATTTTAATGATTTTTATCCTTAAACCAAATAACGGTGTGAAAAATATAATATACCACATAAAAACACTTTAGTACTAAATCAACATAAGTAATCATACAATTTTAACATTAKAAAATCGATGCACAAGCTTTATATTATGTAAAGACCAGATTGTCCAAATTAWTTGTTATCTGTAAAGGGAAAGGGAAACATCGGACAATTTAAAATACATATATGRTGTGTGTTAAGTTTCCGGAAATKATGTAATTATCCATTCAGTTATTTGTTTAATGAATTAAGACTATAATAATTAATAAGCGTAAAAGCTAATTTATAATTCTATAACTACCTARTTATGGTTATTATTTATTTCTTAATGAGTGATGAGAAGAAATTAATAAAAGAAATTTCACTCAAATATTACTAATGTACCTGAGGAAGTCACACCCGCATAATAATCAACTAAAGATGTCAATAAATGACGTGCAATAATAAGCAATAATAATAAATTTTATTTTTATAAATTTGACAAACATTTATTAAAATATTACATCACTACAATAAAATTTATTTTCAATTAAATTTATATCAATGATTATATAAATACATCTTCATTATATTATTATAATAGTGCATATTTCACAAARCAGTATTACTACAATTATAAATTATGTAGGTACATAACTTTTTGTTTTTGAAGGGCAAAGCGTTATAGTTCAATTGGATAATAAAATATACAATAATAATGCAATATACAGATAAATAATAATAATAATAATAACTATTGATTTAAACATTCCAAATAAAAAAAAGCATTTCTTAATAAAGGTACAATTATGATCTTATTACTTATGTCTTACTAATATATAAATTATTATAATACGTAGAATATAGGTATTCAAATAAAAGTATAAATTACAATTTACTTATTTATTTTAATTAAAAATGTAATAAAAATTATAATTCTATAAAACGATTGAATTATCATACAATATAATTTACCTATTTATATCTAATGGCAATGTACAAAATAGTTATACTAGTTTGAAAAGTACTTGAATATACAGAGTGTAACAGAAAGATATTTCAAAATGTCATATCTTTTATATGTTTCATTTGACRTATATTTGTGTTACACCCTGTAAATATGTATATTATTGACAATGGAATAGTAGTAAATTAACACGATAAATCTAACATAAATAAAAAAAATATAATTTGTTAAACAAAGGTGCACATAATATGTTTGTAATGTCGATATAGTAGATAGTTTGAATATTTAAAGATGGTTATTGAATAATTCTATTTTTCACAGGTATAAACTTTAAAGAGATCCTAAATCTGTCTGTTGTATTACTGAATTAATTTTGAGAGTAGGGAAATATATTAAACAAAAATCTTACAATTATAAAAATAAAACAATAACAAAAATAGTATGTTAACCAAGTAGGTATTTAAATTAATAGCAATATTAAAATAATTATTCAAATAAGTCGGRCAATAAATTATGACGATTATTAACATCCAACATTATAATATTATGTAAAGTGATAATAGAAGTATCAACCTATATACACTGTATTATAAAGAATTCAATGATGTGGTCAATCGCAATAGATGTTCTGGAATTTTAATGCCATATTTAGTTTATGGCACATTGATGACATTGATGTTTTTGTTATCTTGATGGGCATTTGCTTCAGGATCGATTGAAGCTCCTATAACAGTAGAAAAAACATGTTAGAAAATAATTTTCTTTTTCTATGACACATAATATTACTGATTAACAAAAAAAACCGTCAAACTATTAATACCATTAAACGTAAATCAAACTACTTCAACGTTAAAATGTCTAACTAACCCTCATAAGTGTTTGCATCATAACAGAAACAAAATAATGTCGAAGTAAATTCAATTTTTTAGTAACTCGAGTACTTTACAAGACTGCGGCAATAGCTATGCTAATAAAACCAATTAAAATAAAAAAAAATTAAGGTTTTGAGTATAGCTTTTCAGTTTCATATTTAGGTTTAGAAGTCTTTTAACCCCCTCTATTGTGTTTCTCGAAAAATAGTAACGTAAGGCTACCTACAAAGACACAAAGTACAAACTGAGTCACAATAAAACATTTTAGGACRAATTGAGTTGATAGTTGTYTTAGGGYATATATATACATAGCTATACTAACAGAGTACCGTGAAATTTTAGACACGATACTAATAAATAAATAAATGTATAACATACGGTATTCAGATTCTTTTTAATTTATAAAGATATTCATTGGTAATCTTTACGTCAAAATATTGGGCTTGCCCAAAAACAAGTGTCTAGTTATGCCACTGCTAAATATGTGTTTAGATTTACCTACTGATGAAAGTCATAAAGAACGATATCACGTAATCCCATATATACGTACATTACAATTGATTTTATATTTTACTCTAATAATCGGACTCAATTATTTTATTTCTCATTTGTACCCGGGACACAGTTTGTAGGTATTACTCGTATATACCTAAATCATTTCCCGTCCAGACATTGTGACTCAATCAGTAGGTATGCAGCGACTGTATAGGTAAGAGTCACTCGACTTGTCGAAATTCTCAAAGGTACAAATATTGGTATTATTATTATATCGTATATAATTAAGSACGTTTATACCTCCGAGTAACATCTCTTGTAACAGTGGTTCGATGTGTGCCATTCCGAACAACTTTGCGAATTGAATCTGTTCGATCATTTGCCAGGTGATCGACTGTAACGCTGGCAACGTAAGCAACAATTCGGCGAATCGGCCACACGTCTCATATTGCCTGTCACTGATGTAGTCTTCTAGGTTTCTGTGGATTTGCTTGCGCATGCGTCTAATGCGGTCTGACTCGTTTAGGCCTTTGGCGTCTGTATGAATAAAAATAAATAAATTACAAATCTATCTGATCATACAAATCTCTTTGCAGTTTGCACGCTTTGGCGGTAACAACAATTAGCATGTGGGTACTCCACAGTACACTGTATCCGGCATCACGTCACGATAACGGAGAAACGGTATCGTGATACAATAACAAAATAAAGATMMATAGGTAATAGGTATCTATTGTTGAATAAATTAAAATGTTGTTTACTTGGATCGAAGAAAACGATGGCCTTTAGACACGCGAATTCAGTGTCGTCGATTTGCACGTCATTCAATGGTTTGACAAGCTCGTCTAGTACGCGCGAACCCACTCTGCTTATGTCCAAGTCCGACGGAATTCCGTTGTCTGGTGGTCAAATACAATAGTTGAATGTTAGACGCRTATTATACTATGAGGTATACCATAATATTCAAATAATTTTAATAAATTTTTGTGAAGTAGTATTTCTGATAGACACGTACGACAAGAMCAGTTGAAAAGGTGAAAAACATTCGAAAATAATACAACCCAATTGTGCACTACTGTATTGACATTTTTTATCACAGGTATTTGCAGTGTTTGTCAGTCGCGATTTTATTCCGTTCGATTCATAAACAAGATATATTATAAAAAATATACATTCAATGTAAATGACGATTTGTATTCGTATTATATCGATAACTATACAGTTTGTGGGTGAGTGAGAGGGAGGTAGTAGAAGAGGGCTGCACACTGCTATAGTGCTATACGCATTTAAAGTCATTATATTAGAGGACTAAAGCCCCAACGAAAAAATTACGCACGTTACGCATATGACAGCACACAATGTAATTTTTTTCGATTGATACCTATTATTATAATTTATAATCATAGATAATTATTTATTAATTAATAGCAATAMTTAGTTTTCACTTACCGGGTACGTGACGGGTTATAACGCGATTGTTTCCCAGTAGCAGAACGTCCTTGAGCATTAACGACCTCTTAGCTAAACCCAAGAGTAAGTGTTCTCCAGCGTGAGCCCGCAACAACGAAACCTATATAATGGAACAGTGAAACAAGTTACGAAAACATGTAGGTAATCTATTATTATCTGCAGTCCCATTGAGAAAATAACGGACGTTGTAACATACCTGGTCATTCAGCTGGAGTTCTGTGAACGCGGGTATGCGCTTGGCCCAGTCGACCAGGAAAAGCAATTGGGTTTTCATGGACTCGCACACGTCCCCGATGTTTGCCACGTGCTTGTTCGTTAGGTTAGAATCCTCGGCCGCCTGTAAACAATCATAAATCATGATAAATATTGGACGTCATGAAGAATATAACAGATCATGGGCGTCTCCAAAAAATTTTCTAGGGAGTGGCAAAATTAATTTAAAAAATAAATGAAGAATTTTTTATGCATTTTAAAATTAATCTATGTTTACCAAATTGGCACGTTAAAAATAATGCTTTGGAAAACAAATTTAAAATTCAAGAGGGGGCAAGTGCCCCGTCTTGCCCCCTCATGGGGACGCCCATGTAACAGATCGAGGAATTTTAATATTTTTAGCCATTATGGCTAAAATTATTATGATTATTATTATTATAGTGACAATAATATC